CCCCCGGAGCCGTGTGAGGCACGTTTTATTATGAATGCGCGCGCTTTATTTGACGACTTGTGGACTGTTCAACTGCAACACCCGCTGACTACAATGATAGAGCTTGGAATAGCCAGGACAATTTTTTATATAACTCCGACAGGATTCGTCTGAAAGAAGAAAGTCATATACACCTAGGATGCTTCGAGGGTGAGTAAAACACAAGCCAATTTTCATTTTTGGGTGAACTAACCCTTTTAATGATGAATTTGTTTCTTACAAACAAAAGGCTTTTTACTTAACAAGACATTAATTTAAGGATTGAAGTCTTTTGTGATTGTTAGGATTTTTTTAAAATCATTTTTTATATATTTAGCTGTTTAGACTCTCATTCTGATGGCACCCGTTCACTGCAGAGGATCCATTGTTGAGCAAGTGATGTAGTGCTACATTTCTCCAAATCTGTTCTAACAAATTCAGCTATATTTTGGATGGTCTGAGAGTGATTACTTTTTTAGCATATTTTAATTTGCACTATTTCTTTAAAGACTGCTCATCTTATCTGCTACAGTTCTTTTTGGAGCGACTGCCTCGTCTTCTCGGCATGTCCCGTCCATCCGATGACAAACCCAGCCTGGAGGGGGCGCTGCCGCGGCGTTCCAGCTCAGTGGGGTACATCGCCCAGGCCGAGGAGTACTATAGTGTTAAATCACGCAGCGAACTGATGTTTGAGAAGCAGTCTGAGAGGCATGGCATGGCTGCTCGCCCCACTCCCAATAAAGAAATACATATAAATAATAGTTTCCACTATGAATTTATCTTATAAAATAATATTTTAATTAATTTAATTATTAATTTAATAAATTCTTAATCCATTTAATTTAATGATTAATTTAATTACATTAAGTGCATGCACAACATGACCATAACTAGATGGTGCTGTGTGAAAAATTTATTGAATTATTTATTTATTTATTTTTAAAATATAAATATAATTTTTTTCCCACAAGCTAAACACATGTTTCTACTTCAGGAAAAGGACAACTGGAGTGGGATTGCCAGGACAGTGGACCGACTCTGCTTCTATGCGGTCACTCCAGTTATGACGTTAGGAACCATCTGCATCTTCCTGACGGGCATCTACAACCAGCCACCAGCGCTGCCCTTCCAGGGAGACACTTTCACCTATACAGAAGAAAACAAGCGCTTTTCATGACCTCTGTACACCACAACAGTGTGCTAGATGAATAATGAATAATAGCCACAGCACTCTGTGAAATATCATAAAGGATATTTTGACAGCAATGCAAAGCATGAATATAAATTACTCTCCATTTAGGCTGCTTATGCAGGCTTGATTACTTATATTATGTATGTGGTTTAATAAGTGTGCCAAATGAACCTCTTCCGCTGTGAGATGGGGAATAAAATAATAATTCTTGTCTTTTCCTCCTGGGTGTAATTGTTGTTTCAGTGGGTAATCAAAGTTTTTCCACAGCCATTTTTGTTGTTATTGCAGAACAATCTCACAGGGACATTTTCAGAACAGAAACAACCTAATCCATTGAGAGGATCATGGACATGCAAGGAAAGTAGAACCCACTATTTTAAATGATAAATACAGTTATAAATGGAACAGCTCACAAACCAGCTCTGAAAGTCTATTATGCAATTATATAAATAAATCATAAATACTGCACTGCAATGTTTCACCGGGTTTAGTATTGCACTCAAAATCTGTTCATCACCCTTCCCCTTTATAATTAACACTGGTGTGTTATTGAAGTACTTGAGCTATTATACAGCACCACGGGGACAGGAGAAGGAGAAAAGCCACTGGAGTGAAAAATATAGAGGTTTGATTATGCATAGTGTAATAGACCGTAGTTGATTCATTCAATCTTTAGGTCTAAATTACTTCCTGTCATTAAAGTACATAAATCTTCCTTGGTGGTGGAAACACAGAGAAGCAGACACAGTAAAAACAGGTTTGAAATGGAGAAAACGTGATTTTGTGTGCAAACCTACCCATGCAAATGTCACTGTCATGATGCAAGGGTTTGTGGTTGTTGCCAGGATGTTGCTATGTGGTTGCTAGGGTGCATTGGGTGGTTACTAGGGGGTCACTTACTGTCCCCAGTGAAAAGAGCCCACCTTTATATTTTTCCCCTACTTTAATGCAAGTCAATGGGATTTTTTGCTTAATTTTTGTCTGCCAGGCGGGGAAAAAAAAGAAGACTGTCCTTGATTTGCACAAATAGTCCAATTTAGCACTCTCTCCCTATCAGTACACACATAATCTTGTAATTTAAGCCACTGCTTGGAGGCTCTAGTAAACTCAGACTGTCATTATCTTTTTTTTTTTGCAGAAAAGACCAAGCCTCAGATAGGAGGCCACACTGTCCTCTCTAGAGTGTATTTGCCCCATTTAGATGAAATGAGGATTTTCCCGCCATTACAGTCCAAGGCCCTTCCCTCCAGCTCAACCCTTGCTGAAGTTGTGGAATGAATAATTAATAGTCCACATGCTGTGGGTTATTAAGTGAAAATAACTCAGTGCTCTGTCGTGTCTGGAAAATGATCTGGAAGTTGGTAGTAACTTTGATCGATTGACTCTTAAAAACCTTGTTACTGTGGTCCACACAAATTGGCTTTGAGATTGGATCTGAAATCTAAACTGGAGATTAATCCAAAATTGCTGACACTGGGGGGCCGAAGAATAGATCTATATCCCCACCACAGGGACCACAGCTCCTCTAGACATTTGTCCATTGGTCTTGATAGAATGGCTTAATGGCCTGCAATCGCTCTATTGGAGAGTGTTTGTTTAGCTTTGTGGAAACGGCCATCCATCTGCAGAGTGGTTATGCTATTATAATGATGAGAGAAAGAGAGAGAAAAGCTCAAACCAGCGAGACCAATAGCTTCAAGCAGGCTCATCAAACAGGCATTGTGACTACTGAACCAAAGTGATCTATCAATCTTTACTTGAGTAACACTGATGTAAGAAAGTATCATGTACTAAAAGCAGAACTGTAAAGCTCATCTTTTTGTTAAAGGACATTTACGAATTCTTACATTTTATATTTGTAAATATGTTAATCATCAATCGCATTTCCCATAATTTCTGGAATCTGATTAGAATCTCAACTTGCAATGCCCAGTCCGTGAAGGAAACACTCTTTTCTAGATAGTTTGTTCCCATGAATTGATGAGCGTGTTAACAAAACCCTAACTGGTTCATAAAAACTGGGTCGCAATTCAGTCCGAATCATTCAGGCAGTTCTTTTTGTGACTTAATAAAACAGTAACACGATACTTCATAACACAGAGAACAAACAGAATGATGGATTAAGTGAATATTTATCTACAATCAGAAACATACCTGCAAAATCATCCTAATGTTTGCCAGCGATAAGGACTTGAAGTTCAACACCTGCACGTATAACGTCTTGTGAAGGACTCTCACTCTGCAGGTAAACACATTTTCCAATCAAAGAGCTACAAAACATTAATATTAACCTACATGAAAACATCAAAAGTACATATCACTGTTTTTTTGGAAAATATATTTTGGAGTGTTTGTACTTATTTATGGGTTTGTGCACGCTTGTATGCTAAGTTGCAATGTATTTTTCTGTTCATCTGCCTATTTAATTGTTGTTAATGTAGTTTTGATTTGTTAGCGATTAAAAAGACAGCTTTCTGTCCCTATACTGCCATGAGTAATGTTTTTTTTAGTGTGTATTTTACATTTTTATTCTTGTAAAAACATATTTGTTTGTTTGTTCCTTACAAACTGTGGAGAAATTTTCTGTAATAACTGGCAGCATGACAGAGATACCGACCATTCCTTTAACAGCATGCTTCCAAAAGGAAACTCTGGCTTAAAGGGAACAAGTATGCAACCTCTCAGCTTGTTCTCAGGACACACAGGTATCTTGGTGCCACACAAACATATTCCACCCAGCTTTGTTTATTAGGGATAAGCAGCCCTGTGGCAGCTGTCAGACAGCACCGCTAACCCACTTCATTTTCCAAAACAGCATACGCTCTCTTTTTTGCCATTTGAGTAGAGTAGGAGCAGCATGGATTGGGGAATAAATTTAACGTCTCCACAACATCTAGGCCAGCAGGAAATTAAAAAAACTCTAGTTCCTCCCACTCAAAAGCAGCAATGCGTTCTGAAGCCGGTCCCCCCTCCATCCATCTGGAGGTGTTTGTTTACCACCCTGTTTGCACAGCAAAAACAGCATAAGGAAGCAGAGCTGACAGAATCTTTCTATCTGACGTTCGATTGCCTCGGGAAGCAGTGCTTTCCCTGCTTCTCATAGCACTTGTCCAAGAACAAAGGACAAGCTTTTCTGTTGTGTCTAAAACTATGATATCCAGATCTCACTCTAAGCATGTGATTATTACGAGATCACAACTCGTATATACATTAGTAAACCTGCCTGGCAATACTATTAAAGAAAACATACATAAAAAGTGAGATCAATCTTTTTTGTTTTGCTTAAAGGTGCTAGAAAAGGACTGCAAATTTAGCTCATGTCTGTATGATCAGAAGGGGGCACACTATCCCAAATGTGCGAGAATAGAACTAAAATGTCATACATTGTGACAAAGATAAGTTGCAAAAGCAGTTGCGGCCACACACAGCTCTGCTAAAAGAGCACACTTAGGGGACAAATATGAAATCAGGCGCTAAAAAGCCCATGAGTCAGACTGTGCTGCAAATGAATCTGACAGCTCCTTTTTTCCTGATCTGATTCTTTCCACCCTGTGTGATTAAGAGTGCAGGTTTATGGGGCAGAGCCCACTGATCACTGAATCTCTATGGTGAGGTCCCACAGAATATGTGGTATGATTCATGCTGACATACTGGGGCCTGATCTGGGCCCGACTCCAGCCTCCTGGCTCCATCTGCTCTGGTTCTGAAGTAAGGATGAGTTGGAACAAAATCAATAGGCAGCCAGGATGAAGGCCAGGGATGATGGTGAACTGCCGAAACTGTCCATGTTGGATGAGTTTGCTAGGCCACTTCAATTTAACACTCAAAAAGGTTTTGTTCAGCATCATATGGCAAAACATGACATATTTTCTCAACTTTTTTTAAACAGAAATGCTTATGACAAAGTACTTTATTATATTATTTGTGTTTCAGTGAACCAGTTAAAGATGTCTAAGACAGAATTCCTAAGGCAAAGAAAGTTGTTTTTCTATTTTAGACATGGCTGCCAACAATAATAAAGCACAATAAAGGTTTTCTACCTAATTGTTATGCTAAAAACCCTAGTGTTTCTTTTGAAATTCAAGGGTATTTTTCTTTACATTTTAGAGTCAAGGCCAACATTTCTGGCCAAAACAATAGTTAAAATAATGTTTTTGCTGTTTCATGACTGCTTGTTTTGTGTTCCACAGTAATTTTAGGTTTTGCAGTTTTGCAAGGTTCCAGTTGAGGCAACTTCACATCTAGTTTAACAAAGTTTTGTTAAATGAGCTGCATATTTCACATATTCTCATGGAAATTAAAATCATTTAATAGCGTTTTAAGACTTTAGGGTATGTTCTTGACTTTCAGAAATTGACTTTCAAAAATAAACCTACCCTGAGAAATATTCACTAGAGTGAAATGTGTGGCAACTAGCACCGATTGACCTCCCATTTATGAATCTTTGAGTTATTCCTGTCACTCTTATGGTTTACGCTATCATAGTCCTCCATCATTTTGGTTTAGACCATAACATTAGCCACATATAGTCCCACAAGTGGCCAAGTCTCATGCGAATATAGCCCCTCTATGAGCATCATTACATATTTCAGACAAATACTTTGCGTGCACTGCTTTTATAGAGTTTCTGAAGCAGGGCGAACCAGCGTGTCCTCATTAAAATGAATACGGCCGAAAGCCTTTTATCCTCGTGGGAAATAACCGAGCGCGCGAGTCAAATTCACTTTGCCGCACCACCCACAGGAGGAGCGCGCGCCCAATTGAATCAACGCTCGCAGCTGCCTTTGGAAGCGACGTTCACTTGAGTCCCCGTGGGTACGCCGCACACTTCTCTCTGTCTTACTCTATATACCCACTAGTCCACCTCTGAAAGGTACAGACCCCTAAAGAGGAGAAGAAAACGAAGGGAGGGGAAGGGAGAAACAGGAGAGACTGCAGTTGGTGCATGGCATGAAGACGCGACTGTTGGTGACCCGGCTGAGCATGGCACATTATGCCAGGATCTGAACTGAAACGGGGAGCAGATTCGGGCTCTTAGATATGGGTGTTGATAATAAGAAACCCTTAAGTTTGCAGGAGCAAAGGGTTAGGAATGTGCTTGATGTCGTTCGGTGTGACGCTTTGGATGCGCAAATCTGGATGGGATGAAATCGCGTAACCGGGAGCCAAATCTAGGCGCTTAACGTAAGACCACCGATCTGAGCTCCCCAGAGCTGCGTTAAACCACATCTTCTGCCCCTCGCAGCCGTGTTAAGGGGGCAACCACAGAAAGTTTCGCGATGGCTCTCGTCATGGAACCTGTTAGTAAATGGAGCCCCAGTCAAGTTGTGGACTGGATGAAAGGTACGTGATGCGTTTTTGGTCCCTAAACCCATCGTTTACTAACCTAATGGCGCTAGGTAGTAAAGAAAGAACATGATGTCTTGCATTTCACTTGATATATATCAGATCATTTATGTTCTAGTTGGGCATTCTTGATGTCTTTTCTTCCAAGCAGTGAAGCGTACATATGTCTGATGTTAATGATGGCAATCAGGGTGTGAATTAGCCTACTGTATGAGCTGGACTCTGACACTCAGTTGAGTGACTCGAAGGAAGTTAAAACAAAAGTCTTAAAAGTATGTGTTGTTTTACTTGTATGTTAGTTTCAATTAACGTTTTCCGACAACATTTAGTATCCACAAAAGTTATTTTACAAGTTAGTCGGAAAGCACTAAATAGCCGCGCTAGCAAACAGAAGTCCTGTTTGCCTGAGGAGGTAACCATAGCAACAGTTCGCTGCGCGAGCGCTTTCCGTCAGGATCGGTATGGGATGAGGACAAAACACGATTAACGTAATTATTTATCTCTTTACTATAGATTTTCACAAATGTATAATCTTTTTGTTTAAAATGTCGTTAAGATAGTTGACGGTTAGCTAGGGACACTAAATACAGTTAGAAACACTGATCTATATATAATGTTCTCTATTATAGATCAGTGGTTAACGTTAGAAACGTCGACAGAATAGGCTAAGTTACTGACAGAAATTTATTTAAAAAGTCGACCGCACTGAAAGCCATAGATATCAAATCACGTAATTCAGCCAACAAAAGATAATTAGCGACTTATCTACAATCATGAGAATTTAACTTTGCTATAGCACATTAAGGAGCTTGAACTGCGAATCAACACGACATAGCTGTACACTAACAAGTTACCAGTAACGTTAGGCCTAATGGGAATGCTGGTGACAGAGCATCAAAAACCAGCTTTTTCATTAGACACGGATTAAATGA